AAAAGCTTTTTTAATTGGGGAAAAGAAAAACACTTTTTTTGTTTTTTCTTCATAAACATCAGGAGTGTCAAGGTCCTTGGTGATCTCAAAAATGCATACTTGGAGCAACTTTAGCTCTTAATATAAGTTTGAAGATGTTGAATCTTTAATGGACATTTCCTCTACCTAATTTAATTAATCTGGTATATCAAATGGAGTTGAAATCTTCCTTTGATGTAATTGATATGTTCCCAGTTTACCTTCTTCCTAAATTAAATAACATGGAAGAAATACAGCAGGAACGCAAAAGTATCAGTTTAGGCTTGGTTTGTTCATCAGTCACAGATACGCTCCCTCGGAGCCTCCAACCCTTCTTAAATTCTTAGAATGGGGATAATTGAATGCACCTGATCTATCTTCAGTGACTTTGCAAAATATTTATGCATCTTTATAGGGGTTCAAGAATTTGCTGTCAGGATGACCTAAAAGAATAGCCTTACATATCAATTTAGAGTCTTAAAATCTGTTATCCTGTTACAAGTACTGTGTGCAAAACCCAAGAGTTTTAAATTATATGAATAAATATCACCTCTCACTTATTTAAAATTTAATTTTCCTGGACTTTTTAATGTCATCATTTTGTTAGTTTTTCAGTGATCCATGGAGTCATGTATGATGGGCAAAACCTGAATTTTTAATATAAAAATGAAGCAAAAACTTCTCCCAAGTCACTTTTTAGATCATCTTTATGCATTCTAAAGAAGGGGGAAAAGGCAAAAGATTGGATTTTCTCTTCAGGTCACTTTAAGTCTTTGCAATGTTTGTATTTTGGAGCACATACAAATGAGGCACTTGTTTGAATTAGCCAAGGATGGAAGATTGGCATCAGTTACTTATTGTTTTAAGGCTTTCAGACAAAGAGTTGGCAGTGGGAAAACTTCTCATTAAGGCTATCCACACATACCATGTTTCCAGCTGTAAATTGAGAGCTACATACTAAACTGACTCTGTTTGCCATTGATTCTTGTTCGTAGAAACTATTTCTTAATGTTGGACAGAAGTTTGTACATATATCTCTTGAAAAAAAATTATAAAGGGCACAGTATTTGAGGTATATATATGGGAACATGCTGAATATTGCTGCAGATTTTATGTGTATTCTTAATGCATTTTCACTCTTTCTAGAGACTTAGTGCTCTTGTATTTGCACTGTTCTTCACTCTTTTAGCCTATTCAACAGGCATCCAACTATTCAGAAAACCATTTGTTAGCTAGCCAGTCCCAGGGAATTGCTCCCCGGAGCCATCATGAAGTCTTCACTTCATCTTATACAGATTAATATCCCTGATTTATTGGAGCCCAGGAAGTATTGTAATAAGCTGCTTTTAAAAACATGTTTTTTAAAAGAAACCCAGTTAATAAAATTGCAGTGGTACATTCCATATATGCTGCTCACCATAACAGTAGAAGTGTGGCAGTGACAGCTGTTTCCAAATTTCTGGTTTGGAAATACTACATTCAGCATAGACTTGTGTCCCTGCTTCTCTGCACTCATCCCCATCTGTTAGGGTGGCATTGTGCCTACATTCAGCATGATGTGTCAGTTGTGCTAGGGCACATTTGCTAAGAAAAATGGGTTTGGATACTTTCAACCTTAGGTATACAAGGTCTGCCTCTTGCATAAGACATCCTTGCTGTGTGCATTTGGCACCTTGGTATATTATATAACATTACATTTGATCACACCTGTCATTTTATCTGCCAAATACCGGTCTGTATGTGAATAAAGAAGACACAAGATTACAGAGATTCGCAGTGGTTAAAAAGAACAGTATTTTTTTCAGCAGGTATACCACCAAAGGAGACTTGCTGGACAAAACAAAGCTAAACATATGTGCACAAAACTAGGGGTCTTGTGGGCCAACTACTTTTCATGTCACACATTTGCAGCCCCTTTTGAAGACTATGAATTATCTGTCTTCTGGTAGAAATGAAAGCCACGGGCAAACAAACCTGGGTGAGTAACACAGATGTGCAAGACCAAAATGCAATTTGTTCATTTGCTGTATAAAATGGGCCTCTCGCTGGTGGCAAATTAGGCAAGTTTGTGATATATATGACTTTTCCCTGTTATTCTTTAATTTTAATAGAAAGGCAAGGATTCTTAGGGTGACATTTTTTATTGGACCAATTGTAGCTTGGATAAAGTTAGACAAGCTTTCAAATACAAGATCAGAGGAAGCCAGGCACAAGATAGTGAAAAACACCAGAAGAGAAGGGGTGAGAGAAATTCCCAGGTCTAGAAGACTCACAATTAGCAAAGGAAAAGAAGCTGTGGGAGCTCCAGGCCTAGCAAGAGGGAAGAGGGTCACTCTCAACTTCCCTTTGTGAAAAGAATTTAGGAGTTGGGTAAGATATAACGTGCCATAAAACCACTATCTTTGGCTCTTAGTGTTCAGCCAACTTATGCTAAGTTGTTCCTAGGTTAGCCTTTTAAAGGTGTTAAGTAGATTTCTCTTGAGCACAAGGATAGTGAGATCAGAGAGATAGTGGTTATCATGTGAGAAATGTGCTCCTATGGGGTGTGCTGAGAAATGTGCTCCTATGGGGTGTGCACGCCTGTTCTTTTTTTTCTGTGAGTGTTCATTCTGGTGTGTAGTTGCTGTTTAGTTTCACCCACATATTTGCCATAAGGATAATTAGTGCATTGAATCAAGTAGATCATATTTTTTATGAGGGTTTTTGATAGTAGTGGCAGTGGAGATGTGCTGACAGGTTAATTTTAATACAAATTTTGTTTACAAAAATTAATCACAAGAATTCATTTGGTGGTTGAAGTTTATATGAAGCCAGGGGTATGTGGCCCTAGTTTGGCTTGTTTGCTCTTCCTCAGTAGAATGAGTTTTGTGTCTTCTCCTACAGGTTAGGAGAATTTCAGTTTTCCTAGATTTACATTTTGATGACATACCATCATTAAATATAACACATGTAAAACAGCATCATTTTATCTCTTTTAAAGATGTATTTATATAAAATGTGTAAAGTAAGTAATTAGTTTTGGGAGAGTTTGTAAGTATGTGTTGTGGGCCAGAGTTAAGGTTATTGGTGAAATGCATAAGGTGAATGATTTTATATTGTTTTTTATTAATAGAATGTACCTTTTGTAAGAGTAGTACTGTACAAGTCTATAATACTACTGTACTGCCTTAGCTAGTAATCTCATTTCTTTTTAATGCTTCTGGCTTTTGTATTGTTCTTTCTATAATAATTTCCACAATACATGCTGTCACTGGTACAACTCTTAAGACTAAATTGAAGGTTTTTGTGTGGTCCTTTCCCACTTTTCAAAAAAGAAACAGAAAATTACATTTCATCAATATTCATGGACACAGATAGACACACACATGTACTTCAGCATGTGCTGTGGATAAAGTTAGCCAAAGTTAAGACCCATTTTGTTGGTGAACAGAGCAGAGTTGTCTGCCAGCGTATTTTAATTTGTAAGTGTTAATTTATAAATGTATATGTGTTAATTTGTAAATATATAAAGTTTTAAAATGCATGACTGCATAAAATTCACATGGTGACATCGGTATCCAATCAGTCACAGAACATATTGTTAATTTTAGTTTAAAAAGCAGAAGTCTGGTATCTATATAGTGTACAGCATTGTGGCAACTTAGATGAACTTTAGAGTTGGTAGAGTCTCTGTTTCAGTGTTAGAGGTGGCTGAAAAGTTGTGAGAACATTTACTGACTTTTCAAGGAAAAAAACCACCTTTTCTTTTTCAGTCATCTCCATATTATTTCTGGATCTTTTAGATGAATCCAAAATGTTCATAGACATATCTTCCAAGTGAAGGTCAGAACTTCTATTGCTAAAGCTAGAAACTAAAAAATGACAGCACTCAGCATTAGAGGCCGTGTTTGAAAACTTGGATTTTAAATATCTTTGCCTTTAGCTTCCATATCTATAAAATGAGGATAATAACATATACTTTGCATGGGTGTTTAGAATGCTAATTCATATTGGTGAAATTCATAGACAATATAAAACTTTGTGTAAAGCATTGGTGTTCAGAATTATTTAATTAGAATTAATTAGATTGGAATTTAATATACGAGGGAACTAGCAAATATTCAAGTATATGGTAGCTAATAGATGTCTATTAGTCTATCATTATATTGTTTAGTGTATTAATGTAGCAGTTTTGGGAGTATAGTAGAAGACTAGCATTAAATAACATCATCAATTTTGAGGGCAAGTGGATTTTTTTGTCATAACCACAAAATTCCAAAGCAGAACTCTCCACAAACTTGTTCCTTTGGGAAAACAATGACAAATATTAGTCACATTGCTTAATGCACTGTTGCAGTGGTTCCCAAACTTTTCGGATGAGCACACTGATGATCTGTGGACCCAATGATTTGTAAAGTCCCTTCCACCCCATAACAACTATGAAATGATAAAACCATTGTTTAGCCTCAAAATCTCTTATAGACTGCCATGTACACTAATCATTTAAGCTTTTAATTGAAATGTGCAGGGAGGAGGTGCAATCAACAGACGGGTATAGACAATTAACCATGGCCTCACAGACCAGTTTTGCAACCACTGTACTTCTTGAAAGTGCTCAGATACTTACGTTGTGCCATAACATAAAACCTGTAGTATATAATAAGAAATTTAGAAGGGGAGGCAGGCATTATTTTTATGTATTAATATGGTTAATAGGACATTACTCCTTTAAAAATGTGTTTTCCTTTAAAATACATTCTCCTTCATAGCTTTAAACCTCATTTGTCTCTAAGTTGTGTTATCTAAAACCAACATGTTTTTTGTTGGTCTTATCAGGGTGGATGTTCATTCCCAGAGTGTGCCCATTAACTGCTTATTCATTGTGTAAGGACTAGCACATCTGTTAATTATCCAGTTTCTTGTGATGCTGAACTGTTACAGCTATTGTACAGAGAAAAGTCCTCTAGATCTAATTTAGATATATTTATTTTATTGTACTTCAGTGCTTTGTCACGGTTCTTTGGTAAACAATGAAGGTTCTGTTACTGAAGGACCCCAAAGAGAGAGACTCGGGACCAGATCCATATATTCAGGTAAGTACATTAACCACCCCTCAAAACAATCTATCTCTTTACAAGTAGACAAATATAATATTTAGCAATTGAACAATGTAAATGTGATTAGTTGTTACTGGTATACGACTAGGGAAAATGTTCATTAAGAAAACAAATTTTATAGTGTAATTTGTATGGGCACAAAGAGTAGTTTTAGATAAGAATTTTTACATTGAATTCAAAGTTAAAGATTTCAGAATAATCATGATTATTATTACTGAAGTTAGTTTTTAACAATTACCCCATTAATATCAATGTGTTCTTATATAGATCAGAATTATTTTTGCAGCGTTTTGTAATTGTTACAAAAATTGTCAGTTGGAGTTCAGAGTCTAAGAATGTGTTGCAGGGTCTAAAAAACCCAGAACTAGCCTTTCTTCTGCATATCCTATTTGTACAGCTAGTTCCATTGATTTCAAACATATCTAGACATGATTACAGAAATTTTAGGACTTGGATGGTATACAATGATTTTTACCATATCTGTTCAATGGATAAAGAGAGGGCTTCAGTCTCCAGGGCTGTTATTTCAGGTTTTTTCAACAATGTTAAATATGTCAATTAAAATAAACAACATTCACCTGTAAAAATAAATCAGACTTTCTTCCTTAGATACTTCTAGGTTTTAGTTTAGAAAAATAGTTGCAAATTATTCTACTGCCAAATAGTCTGTTCTTTTAAAAAGAAATACCCACTATTTGCAATGTATTTCAGTAAGTATACGCTTTTATCTGTAGGAATTAGGATCATATGGATTTGAAGCAACTTTAATTCCTGTTTTGTCTTTTGAATTTGTGTCTCTTCAAAGTTTGTATGAAAAGGTAAGATTTAAACCTTTTTGGTAGTACCCAAGTATTAGGCCCATCTGTAATGACCAAATTATAAAGCTTTTCTCTGGTTCAGTTAGACTCCCTTGCTGCTACCTGCACTGCTTTGCTCCTCCAGAATTGTAGGTGCCTAAATTGTGACCCTGAAAACGTGGAGGATTTAAACTTTTTAGGTGCTTTATTTCCTGGGTGCCTGGAGTTGTGTCTTTGTGCTTGCTCAGAAATGCCCCAAACCTGAGCAGTTTGGTGCCTAGCTCATGCCTAAGCATGACTGGATCCAGAAACTAGATGTGCCAAAGTCTCTTTGCAGTTCCACTTGGTAGACATTCTCACAGGCCATCTAAAACACATCAGTAGAATTGGGCTCCATTGTTATGCAGGTGTGGACACCACTCTAGAGAAGAGGAATCAGTGGCCCACTGCTATAATAGTCTTGCAGGTAGAGCACCCTCTTAAGAAGGGGAAGACCAGGTTCCATTCCCTCTTCAGTATGGTGGGGTTGAAACCCACATGTCTCACCTCCCAGTACAGAAAAAATTTAAGATTATTTAGGCCAGGAGGCAAGCACAAGAAGACGCATGACTCTGTAGTCTAATTGTTATGGCAGCCTCCAGGAAGTAAGGGACAGACTTGGACCCTGGTCCAAGGACTATTTTTGCAATGCTTATTTAACAGTAATTGAATAAAATGCACACAGGATGCATCGACATGTGTGCTTTACTGTGAAGTTGACTAATTTGCTACTTAGTAAAGTGTCACAGTCTCCATGTACACTGGTATTAGGGCACAGTAAACTAATTAATTCTGCTGTAAGAGTTAGGAGCGAGTACTGTTGGGGATGGTACTATCTTACAGTGGAGATATTTACAGCACCAAAACGCATGTTTAGACGCTAACCAGGCAGGGGCCAGACTCCTGCCTGCCGTCTGGCCACACAGCTCCACATGGTTAGCACGCTCATGCTCCAGCCAGCCCCTCCAGTGCCACCACCTGAAGCCCAGGGCTAACCCCCTGTGCCCCTTGCCAGCCCGGGCTTGCTCCACCCTGGCTCAGACTGCTGCTGTCCTGGGGAGATGTGTAGACAATGTGCCTAGGAGTAGTTTACTCTGGCGCAAATTGCTCTGTAGTTTATTGCCTCACATTAATTTCACATGTGGATATACCCACAGAGTCCTTGAAGTAGGGATTGGAGCACAGGTTGCCTCCTTCCCAGGGAAGCACTATAAAACCAGTGGTTCTCAACCTTTTTTAGGCTCAAGACACTCCTTGGGAAATGTCAGCAAACGTGTTCACTCTTTTTTTAAATATGGAAAAATAATATAGCAATTTTTTATTTGTTAACACTATGGATTATTTGAAAGCATTGGGTTTATCTTGTGAATCATGTTTGTACACCTAAAAATGCTAACATTGCATGGCATGTAGCAACATCCCAGAAGGATCTCAAGGCACCCTGGGTGCCACAGAATGTTGTTTGAGAATAGGTATATTAAATTATGATAGAAAATGGAGGAGAGGGAGCAGCAGTGGCCACAACACTTTCTTCTTCTATATTTTAATAGGAAACAGTGAGCCTTTCTCACTTCTTTGGTTAAAAAAAAAAAGAGTGCAGGTGCCTCTTAGGAGAGGTTTCTGGCTGCAGATCCAAAGTGGAGAAAGGTACCTCCTTTCAGTGCTGTGTAATGTGTCTAATGTTACCTGTAAATGAAACTAAGATTTGAGGTCTGAAGGGTTCTTTCTTTTGTGCTCCTACCTATAGTCTATATGCTGTAATATTACGACTTATATATGTGAATAAGAGCTCATGGAAAAAGAAATAGACCTTGTTAAAACTAGCATATATGATTTGAATCATCCTATAACTAGTCTTTCCATAGTCTAGTTATAGTCTGGTTTACGTCAATGGTGCTCAACATATTTTACAAACAGGCTAATGTAATGGCCTGAGGGCTGCATAGAAATAGCATTGCTAGAGCTCTGCATGCACACAGAGCTCTCTGAGCTCACCAGTTGTTGGGATGAATTCTTGTTGGAGCTGTCATTTTCCTATGGCTCTGGAGTCCAGGACTGAACTGCACCCCTACTTGTTCCTTCCTTTTCCCTGCAGCTAAATTCAGAGAGTTCACCATACCTGTGGAGGTCTCTGGTGATGGGCCTTTCTCATGGGCTTTGTGGACCACATCCAGCCCATAGGCCATAGGTTGAGCACCACTGTTTACATCATGTGGAACTAAGGAAAGATCTTGCGAGTTGGAGAAGGGTATTCATAATAGAAGAGTTATGTTTATTGTATAGGGTTTTGGGGGGGGGGGAGGAGAAATATTTTTTTCTAAATTGAAAATAGTCATGAAAGACTTTTAGGTTTTTTAAAGTTTTTTGGGGATTTTGTTTAATTTCAAATGCTCATTTTTTCCAATGTTTCTGAGATTTTTTTTCTGGCACTGGAGGCAAGAGTTGACTAAGATCTTCCTTTTTATTTGAATTTATAATTTTTCCTTTACTATAGTAACTTTTCATAGCCTCTTTACCTTAGAAAAAATATTGTGGCAAAATAAAATGCTAAAAAGTGAAAGAAAAAACTGATCTGAACATAATTTGATTGTTTGCTATTTTGTAGCAAAAAAGAAAGGCAAAGAGGAAAACCAAAATTTAAAAAATTAAAAGTAAAAAAAAGTTATATTTTGAGCTCTGCAAAATGGAAACAACTTCAAAATTGTAATTTTTTTTTTCTTTTCAATACCTGTTTTAGCATCCATTCAGAAATATTTTAATGGTCTGTTGCCAAGCACCTGTGCCCCTTCCATGGATATTAAAGTAAACAAAATACCAGCCTTTTAATTTAGAAGGCTTACAAATGGAAATCCAACCTTGTAACAGGACCCTGCACGCCCAATGATTTGTTAGTCATTTTGCTTTAAAAAGTAAATGGATCAATCTTACTTAGTTACCTGAAGTTGGCTAAATTCTGGCTGTTGTGAGCTGCTGGTGGAGACATTTCCTGAAGTGAAAACCATGACTGAGAATGAATAAAAAATAAAATGGAATAAAACCCCCAACAAAAAAAAATGTTGGCACGAGTTTGAAAGTAAGGACTATTCTTCCCATAGAAAAATACCTTTTTTTTTTTTTTAGAATAGATTTAATTTAATGATTATATACAGAAGCAATCCACTGTTTTGTATACTATTTCATATTTCTCAAACCTGATGCTGAGTTTAGGCTTCTACACAGAGTTTACATCTATAATGCATAAAGCTGCAGTAGTGTGAGTAGTTTCAACCTAGAAAAAACATATGGAACAAATGTATTGCTCTTGCATACCTTATGTTCCTATAACTTAATGAATGCATTCAATGTAGAACCTTTTTCAAGAGTAGAACAACTCTTTCAGTGTGCCTTGAGATATCATGCCCTGACTTAGAGATGTCTTTTCAAAATTTGAACTCTTCGACTCTTTGCCTGTCACTCAGTCAAAAAGAGCTTTAAATGCTGGGTTATACAAAGACAAACAATGACAAAGAGAATCATGATAAATGTTATGGGTATTTAGCCATGTGGAGAGGGGATTTCTGTTTTCTCCCTCTCTATCCAAGGCTAGTAACCAAGATTTTTCATTTAAAATTGTTTAAAAATTTGGGAAACCAGGTGTTGAGCCTTATCCCCAGCTTCATGAGAATTTTTCAGCTCCAGGCAAGAGATGTTACTGTCATTTAATGAATGTGTTAAAATATGCAGCACCTCTGCTTCCAAAATGCTTGTCATGCATGCATAGTGTGTTCCCTAAATGCTTCTGGAAGGCACTATGGGGTGGGAGGCTCATTAACAGAAGCTCTCTACTCACATATTGTGCCATTTTCTGCAGCTGCAGAATGAGAGATTTTTTTTTTTTTAATTTTATTTTAGAAAAGCTACTCTGATCCAAACAAATTAGCAGAGAACAAGCTGGCCAGGTATGAATCGCCTTATATCCATTGCCAGGGTTATGAGGCAGAAGTGCTAATAGCTATTTTCTATTTGCTGCAGCCCCACTGTGGTGCTTTCTTTTCAGCATTGGTGAATTAAATACATTTTGAGTAGGTCTACAAAAACTTTCAACATCTAAGTTGAAATCCTGGCTTCATGAAATCAACAAGAGTTTTACCATGCACTTCTGTGGGGTCCTGTGGGAAAACACCCTAAACTATCTATGACCTACGGAAATCTTGAGGTCCTAATTTTTATTTTAATGTTTACTAATCAATCATGTAACAGAGATGATAAAAAATGATATTACACTGTTTTTTCCCCACACAGTTTCTTGTATTCCATGTAGGAATCTTGTCCTGTATTAGGTTCCCAGTAGGGCTATGTGCACAATTTTTAAGCGTTATCTTCAAAATATCCATTATTTTGTATGCATTTGTATATCCTGAGTGTTTTGAATTCTTTAAAACAGATTTTCAGAATTGCCCAGCTCCCATCCAGGCACTTAAATGAAGCGGCTGAATTTGCAAGTACTTTGCATGTTTCCACCTCCACAGCAGCCTGAAATTGGCAGGGTTTAATTGTGGTTTAAAGTCTAACCTGCCACAATATTCAGCTTAAAACTGCATACACGGTACCTTGTTGTCACTTTAAAATATTAATGACCATTTTATTTACACTTTTTTACATCAATAGTCCTTTGTTGTCCTGATTCTTACAAATCTCCAGTGATGCCTGAATATTTTAGGATACTGAGTTTAAACCAGTGGTTCTCAACTAGAGCACCATGAGACCTTTTCCAGAGTGCCCTGGTACCGGTGCCTCCAGGTAGAACTCTCATGCACCTGTTTCCAGGAGGCTTGGCAGGGTCAGAACAAGAAGTGGGTGGGGGTGGGAGGTGCAGATACACCTAATGCAGGAAGGAGGACCCCCTCCTTGTACAGCCCCAGAAATAGAGGTGTGCAAAGCAGTTTTGCCTGCCTGTGCTAGTGCTGCCCTTCAAAGGAGAGGGCACTGCTACCTACTGTATCTGTTAATCTAATGCAAGCAGATTTGACACCTACTGGAACAGCCTCCCCCTGGGTCCACCTCCTAGAAAAGGGGGTGCCACTACATTTAGAAGAGTTATGGAGGGATGTCTTCAGCTTGAAAAGTCTGAGAAACTAAGTAACCAAGCAGGGTCCCTTGATCAATTAGGATCCTGCAAAGGAACTGCTTGTTTATTACTTTGACTGTGGGGCAGTCAGTTGCTAAACAGAACTGCTCGTTTTGGGGAATGTGGCAGAGCTGGCCCAATAGTGCTCTCTGAGTTACTCAGAGGCAAAGCTTCACCTGCATGACATTTAAATACCCCAGATACTTCTCTCCCTCAGATTCAAGCCAGCTCAGTGCCAAGAATTTGTACCTGTTCTAAATTCAGATTTGCAGAATTAACATAGTCTTTTCTAAAAGTGTTTGAAATAGCTTAGCATTCAGTGTTGTAGTATATCTTTCTTACTAATGTCCCTGTTACTTGTATTACACGATTAAAATATTTGCTACTTTTAAAACTAAAAGTTCACAAAATATTTTTTCAAGCTTCTTATAACTCATCTAAATATATTTCTGAATTGTTTGTAACTAGCTCTCTCATCCAGAATGCTATGGAGGTCTAATTTTTACCAGTCCAAGAGCAGTAGAAGCTGTCAAGTTATGTTTAAAAGAGAACAGTAAAAATGAAGGTAAGTGCACATTTATACAGTTGGTTCTCTGTTTAAATTAAAATCTGTAAGTTTTACTCTCTCTCCCACCAGGGGTTTTTTGAGCTTAAAGGGGCTTTGGGGGGCATTAGGAACAGGGATAACTAGGCACTTCGCATTTCATATTTTTATATTTAGACCCAAGGCATACAACACATTCAATCATTTTATATTTTGAGGAGCTCCAACCTATTGGGGCCGTGTGTTTACAGAATCAAGACCTTAGGGTGTTTATACGCATGCCCTCAGTGTGTGTGTGGGGGGGAGGGGAAGGGCTTTAATTAGAGTGGCTCAAAGCTGCTTTAATTAAAATGCCTAGAATGTCTCATATATCAACATCTCTTTGCTGAAAAATGGTGGTGGGGGCGCTAAAGCACCCTCACCACTATTTTTCAGCACAGGGATGCACACTGGAGTCTGCTGGAGCATGGTAATTACCACGCTCCAGCAGACTCAGTTAATCGAGTCTGCTCTGATGCGCTGTAATTACAATGTATTGGAGCAACCTGACTACACATGTATAGGCACCCTAAGGGGATTTTAAGCTCTTTAGAGCTGGGACCGTTTCTTTCTCTGTGTTAGTTATTGTTGGGCCTCGGTCCTGATGTGAGTGTGTTGGTATGATAGAACATGCTTTAAATAATAATGTATTGCCCTCCTCCATCATGTCCCATGTCTTATTCAGACTTGTTTCAAAATTAATCGATCCTAATCTTTTCAATAACTCCTCAGATAGACACCTTTCCATTTTTCTTTTTCTATTTCTATTATCAGTTCTTAAAAAAATGAAAACCAGAAATGAACAGAAGATCTTAGGTGATGCTGTTTCATTTTTAAGGCATTATAATAAGGCATCTATCAGATCTATCTCTGTTCTGTGGTTATTGCAGAAATTGGGATGAGGCAGCTGAATCCAAACACCATTGTTCAATGTGAAGAAATAATTAACATTTTTAGAAGGAAATGTGATTTCCTAATCATTGTATTTGATCCCGGTTTCTCTAGTGTAATTATTTTTTTTAATCAGCTTTTGTATGCAAAACGCAATCAATTCTTACCTTTCTATTATGTTATTTTTAAAATAAAATAACAGAACTGTTTAATAGCATATTTTAGCTTATGATTGATTTGGTTTGATTGGTTAGCATATAAGCTTCTGTTAAGTCTTGGCTAAGCCTTCAGTTTTAAATCTGTATCTGCCCTGGATATGAAATTCGTCAGTTTATCATTTTAAGTTGCACATTCTGCTGCTTTATGCTTTTTGCCTGCAAGTTTTACTTGTTTGCTTTTTTTTGCTAATGAATGCCAAAATATAAATGAGCATTATGAGTTACAGTTGATTTGGTACTGTGCAACATGCATTAAAAATGCTGCTTAACAGACATAATTAGAAATACTGTTTGTTCAACCCAAGTTTTTTAATCATGTTATAAACTGTTGTTTTTACAGTGAGCAAAACAACTGATTTTAAAATCTTTATTTTAAATGCTAGCAAATGTAGTGTTAGTAATTAATATCTTGTTCTCATAAGCTTCTACAGATATAAGCAATCTTTTGGGATAGAAGTCCAAGTGTTCACTGATGTTTATACTTTAATGCCAAATACTTGCACATAATTTAATGTTTTACAGCCTGGACAAAATCTCTGAAACAGAAATGGAATGCAAAATCAACATATGTTGTAGGAAAAGCCACAGCTTCTCTAGGTAAGCCATGTTAAAAAGAAGTCTTATACAAAACAACATCTTCAGTACAATTCATAAAAGTGTTGAAGTGAAAAAAATGTTTTAAAATGTTAAAAGTATCAAGAAATGTGTAAGGCCTTATTTAACAATTAAATCTGTTTCCAGAAAGGCAGCTTTATATACATCAAAGATATACCGGCTTACACTAGCTGGATCTGACTCTACAATTCACTTTTTTTTCTATTGTAATGTGATTGCATTACCTTCATATCTATGGTAATGAAGAGTGGTCAAACCCCCCATGTCCTGCCAAACTAGCTCTTTTTCTGTGTGGTAGGAATAGAACAAAAGCTTATGTAAAGGATTATAGGTTGTAGTTCACTGTGATAACAGGGCACTAGACTCAGTGATCCACGAGGATCCTTCCAGTGCTAGGTAATCCTGGGCCCACTGAAGGCAGTGGTAAAATTTCTGGTAACTTCAAGGGGCCAGAATTTTACCACATGTTTCTGTTAATCCGGTAAAGGATTGTGATGATTTAGACATGTCAGCAGCTATCTCTATCAACCTCCATTTTGGCTTATTGCCAATTTTGTTTGTAAAATTGCTCTGTAGCCTCGGATTTCAGTTAAATGGGATGTGTCAGGATAAATTCCTGTGTCTAGCAGAGGACTAGCCAAGGGTTGTTAAACTTTGACCTTGCATTCAACTGGAAGTACCTTTGACTACCAAGGAAGACTGCTTTCTGAGGTGGCCAGGTAGCCAAGCAAGGGATCACCTGACAGAAGTCTTTAATTGCCTGGTAGGGTTTGAGGCAGATGAGGGAGATCGCCTAATAGACAGGACTGCGTGTTACAACAGGAGATTCTCTCACCAAAACAGAGTAAAAAGGGAAGCCTTGGCTGGAAGAGGGAAAGGGACCTGGAAGCCCAAAAGTACACTGACCAAATTCCAAAAAATGCTCAGGGGTACTGAGGAAACTGAAACAGGAAATGAGATTCAGGAGTTTCTTAATCTGCTGGGATCTGTATATCTCTGATGCTATCTAAAGTGAAGAGTGATTAATTTAAGGATCTCTCCACAAACCTTTGTTCTTACTGACTTCAATAATTACATACCTTTTGAAGGGTTAAGGTATGGGAGCAAGGCATGTAATTCAGGTAGTAAGGAGCACTGAGGCCTAAGACAGCTGGGATGTGGGATTCCTACTTCCAGTAGAGGTGTCAGCCACTCAGTATATGCCCAAGGTTTAAAGGCCAAAGGAAGAGAAAATGTTTAGATCCCACTTAGACCTAAGTAGAATTAAAGTATAAATTACCCAGTGTCTAGATCCAAACACAGAAGCTTAGTGAGTACCTGCAGGGATAGATGAGCCAGCGTGTGACATTCGTATGTTGTTTTAGTTGCACTGTATAAATATTGCAGTATAGCTGTGAGCAGCCTGTGCTTACAGCAGTGATCTTCCCCCTACCCCACCCCACCCCACCCCAGACAATCCCTACCCTAGGAAGGAGGAGTGTTGCCTAACCCAGCCCGCCCCCTGCCTCCAGCCACTGCTCAGGAGGAGCCAGGTTGGGCATGTGCAGGTGGGGTGGCACTTGCTGCAGTCCACCTGCCTTACACAGCAGCAGTGGTGCCTGCCCGCCTGCCTGCCACACCATGCCACTCTGCCTCCCTTTCGGACTGTGCTGTGCACACCTGCCCACCTGCCTTTTTGCCTCTGCCTGTTGCAGCGCCACAGGCTTGGGGGTGGAGGAGGGAGGTGCCAAAATACAACCTCACCCAAGGTGCCATTTTCCCTAAGGCTGGCCCTGAGTTGGAGTATATTCATTTTTTCAGTATTATCATTGTTTTATTTACTTAATCTTTATGGCTATAGACAGACATTCAAAAAGCCTGAGCCTGAATTGATTCAATCTTTGCAGGTTAGTCTAACCTGGCTAGGCTGAATCAATTTGTAACTGCACAGACATCCCCTCTGGACTGAAGAAATGCAGGCACAGGCCTGCAGTGGCTCAGGCTAGAAGCTGGGGGCACTAGAGCAGCCCTGCCTTCCCTTCCACACTGCTGAGCTGAGGGGGACATGGCCAGGCCCCAGCAGAATGCTCTGATTAGGGAAGGGTTCTCCCCAACCTCCTGACCAGCCCAGCATGGAATTGATAACACAGTGTTTATCACCCCTAACTCAGCGTTTATCAGCCCATTAAAAAAACAACAAAGGGACATTACCAGCTACCTGTTGATTCTGCCTTTGTCCCATCTGCCACAGCACAAACCATAGCCAGCATGTGGTCTGCAGCTAGAGAGGTGTTTAAAGCTGAGGGGACAGGGAAGTCCCTGCTTAGCAGGGAGTGGTGAGGGGATATGGGGAGCAGAGGGAAGCCAAGCAGATGCCTGCAGTCTCTGCTGGAGCTCCAGCCAGGGAGCAGAGGTGAGGGGCCAGCTCTGCTGTGGAGAAGAGAACCCTGCCGAGCCCAGAGAGCATGCCAGGATGCTGGGGGAGTCTGGTTTAACTTAAACCAGGAAGGGGTCTGGGACAGACATTGGATAAACTAGTTTGACCCAAATCTGTTAGGACTGATACTACATTCAACCAGGCTTATCTCAAACCGGTTTCAGCCATTTTTAAACCAGTTTGTGTGCAGTGAATGTCTGTTCTGTTATGGGTTTAAACCAGTCAGGTTCCCCCCGCCGACTTGTGCGCAGAGCAGAGGTGGGTGCAGGCTGCCTGCTGTGGGGCTCAGGGCCCCCTGCCCTGCTGCCTTTCTGCCAAGAGCCCCATGCCAGCTGTGCCACCATGGTGAGGCATCCCTTGCACACCCAGCTGCAGTGTGGGGGCACAACTCCACTGCCCCTGCTGCTGTCTGGTGGACGGGGGTACCTTACCAAGCTGACGTGGGGCTCTTGGCAGGAGGGGAGCCCTGAGCCTCGCAGCGGGCAGCCTGCATTTGCTCCCACCCTCATGGGCTCCACTTGGCTCTGCTTTGGCCATGCAGCTCTGGGGGGAGGGGGTGCACAGGAGGTGGCCATGTGTCCCATCTTTCCATTTTGGAAAGGTGGTCATGCCACCTGCAGGCCACTAGTTGAACAGCCCTGGTATAATACATCAAACACAATGTAACATAGACCTGTAAAATGACTAGAAGCAAAATTTGATTATTGGTCTTGCTGCTACCATTACTCTACCTGCAATTTTCATTTTTCTTTATTTGGATTTGTAGATTTATATTACATTAGGTATTTAGTTGGGGTGTCACTGGATAAATCAATGCTGTGTTTAAAGTTTGTTTTTTCTTCTACTAATTTGTCACATTTTAATTCATTTTAAAATTAATCACAGACAGGCAAGATTTAAATTAAATGTGATGTGATCACTTGCATATCTGTCATTGCTTATTCCACCATTTTTGGCTTGAGTATGTGGCTTGAGTAAGTATTCCAGTTCCTTGCAAAAATGGTTTGCAATTGCATGTGTAAAGTTTCAGACCCATGTGGGTGAGCAAGACTTCACTGCTGTGTATAGTGTTTACCTCTGGATACATATGGGTAAATGCCACTAAACAGTCAAAAGTTCATTTAATTTTGTAGCAGGTATTTTACATTTGTGTACATGACCTAAGACATTTAGTAGTATTTAGAAAATATGGATCCATTTAAAGGCTGATAAAATTGAGTCCTGGATAATTTCCTAGTGTGGAGGTATTAAGGATTTAATTTAATCTAACATAAAGAAGAGGTTAAGTTCACTACAAGTTACAATTCCCAAAGCTGGCTGAGATGTAGAAAACTGGTGTGTGGCATGTGGCAAAGCAGGGAGGGGACAGGCAGCATAGCAGCAGATAGGACAGAAAGCAGAGTAGCCAATCCATCCGGGGAAGGAGATTGGAGTGGTGCTTGGGGAAGAGTACGGGGTTAATTTGTAGCATATCTGCCAAAAAGGTTGGCCCTCACTAAGCTGAAAGGAGGCTTGAATCAATCAAGTCCAATGCTAATTTGTTAACTTCTTGGCAATTCCACCTTCCGTGCCTTCATACTAAATTCAAGATTGTAATTTTGGATTTTCACAGCAGTTTTGACCCTTTATCACAAGTGAGTTCATGCTCACTGATCTATGTACATGTGCTCAGCAAGAACACGAGTGTAACAGCGCCATGTGCCAAGAGTGCAGCCAGTTCAGCACAGTGCACCAACCCTTGTATCTTCTCTTCTTATAGATTTAGTGCCATGCTGCTGTATGAACAGTCTGCAGGAGTGAGATCAGATGTCCTCTACTCCTTCCATATTGCTTTCCTTATGCATGTCTTTCTGCATTATCTAGGATCACGTCTTTAGAAAGCACATGGCTTTACAAAGGGCTCCAAGAAAACTTAAAAAGATTTCTATAAAAGACAGATTAAGCTGGGTCTCCATTTTCAATTCAGATGTTTCTGACACAGCTAACTGGAACTTGTTTTCATTCTATCAAACAATATGTGATGTTACTGCTTTTTCTTTAAGTGGAAGAAATTGGCCTTGCCCCACAAGGAGAGAAGTGTGGAAATGCTGAAAAACTAGCTGGATACATTTGCTTAAGTAAGTAACCAAAAATCTTTGAATTCAAGGACACTTTATATTAAATTTGGCTTCAAAATTTCTTACAAAAAGACAGGGTTTTTAAGTGTATACCTCTTCTGCATTGAACACATCCTGCCTGTATTCTCTATAATCTGATACAGTAGAATCCCAAAACCCAGCTTCCTAGAATGCTTCAGCTGTTCCCAGAACATTTTGAATAAATAGTATTTGCTACGTAATATCTGCCTGATATAGGAGATCCTATATCTTGAAATAATCCACATTAATAATATATAATCCAAAAGACTATTGTCTGTTTGGGATCAAGTGATACATTATGAAGATTTACGCATATGGTATATCTTGCTGCAGTGGCACGGGTCCCCTTTAGCACAGTGGACTTCCCTTGATTCAAAAGTAGACTTTAAGGCTGGGTTTTTTCATTGTCTCATAACTAAAATCAAATATAATGACTCTTCCCTAGTCACTGCTGCTTCACAAAAATTGCCATCAGTGCTTAGAAGAGGCTGATTTTCATCTCCAAAAGAATTTTCTTGAAAAAATGATGAAAGGGACTCGCTATACTGGAAGCCTAAATGTAGCTACTGTTTTGATTAAAACTAATTCAAAACTCTTAAAAAAATTTGACATATAGTCAACCGACAGTATGTGATTCATGTGATTCAAGTTAGTATTTTCTACTAGAAGAGCCGATTTGGAGATCTTAGCTAATGTGTTTCTTTTTTTTTATTATATTGACCTGCCTAGGGTATAACTTTGCTGTTAAATTGATGTGTATAATACACATAACGAGTGGGGAATCAGCCAGCTCCATAATCAGAAGTTTAAAAGAATCAATTTTCCCAACAGGAGGGTTTTTGAGAATTTTTTTTTTAGACACAGTGGCTGATTATTATTTATTGGGTGATTGTAAGGTAGGACAACTACAAGCTGTACAAAGATACTTCATTATCATGCAGCTGGGATTCTAGGATTTGGAAAAAAACCTGTAGTATAAGAGGAAAGTGCCAGGACAATGAGATTGGCATTAGAGTTTCAGATGCATGTAGCATTCCAGAGAGCTCATAATTGAGGTTCATGCTGACTTCAGAGTGTATTCATATTGACATCTGCTAAGAACACACTTGACAAAAGAAGCTCAACAAATTTAGGCATGAATTAATCTTGAACACTTTGAGATTTGCTGCTAAATCCAACTTGGTATGCGTGTCAGCCCCAGGAGCTCTATAAACTTCTGCATTTCAGTGCACACAGAGTTAAATGACAATTTCCCTTTCCTGCTCCACAGGACACTTTCTGTTAGCAGTAAGATGCTAAGGACACTGCCTGGGGGAGATTCTACTGCAGAATCTCAGAAAGGACCCATAATGAATCTCGAGGTTGGGCTGTCCTTGGTTGATAAAAAGGAAGGCGTCTGTTTAATGGCTTCCTGCTCCAGACGTATAAGGAAAAAGACAAACATTGGGTTAGGGATAAATACAGTATCTGTTAACTGAACAGAGTGTCCCAGATTTCGAAAACTGCCCACCTTTGGCCAGGGAGATGAAAAAGGCAGATGGTGATCAGTGCAATTATTATTATTACTGTACTTTGGTGAGTTACTGTAGCTGCTAGTTTAAATAATTTACTGGAGCCCACACTTCATCCCCTTATTGCCTTCATGCCTTTTGTGTCAAGGTGCCTAAGTCCCACACAAGTGTTAGCACCTAGAGATATTATTTTTGGACATTGCACATAGGATGGAAAGTTCTAGCATATTCTTTTCTGCACAAGATTTCAGCAGGCCAATGAAAAATGGGATCATAGCTGGCACACCCTTGCTCATTTACAGATAGGGTGACAATGAGGCTTTTAAAGTGCAAAAGGGATTTTAAAAATAATTTTAACGGGCAGCACAGGGCCCCAAGGGCAGCAGGGCCCAGCTGGGCCTGGCACATGGTCCCTGCATGCCACACCGGGTCCTACCACTAAGGGCCCAGCCCAGCTGAGTGCCAGAGGGACCCCAGGGCTGGCAGGACCCAACTGAGCCTGGCATGCAGTCCCCGTGCACCACACCAGGTCCTGCCACCAAGGGCCCAGCCTGGCCAGGCAGCAGAGGGACCCCAGGGCCAGCAGGACCCAGCTGGGCCTGGCACACGGTCCTCACGTGCCATGCCGGGTCCTGCCACTAAGGGCCCTGCCCAGCCAGATGGCAGAGGGGCCCTGAGGGGGGCAGGTTGTGCCACCAAGGGCCTGGCAGAGAGGTCCCAGGACCCGGCTGCAGAGAGGTCCCAGGACCCAGTTGGGCCCAGTGTGCAGTCCCCACATGCTGTGCTGGGTCTTGCCGCCATGGCTTAGAGCGCCCCACTTCCACCGCTGCTGATAAAGGTAAGTTATGGACCCTGGGTGGGGAGGGCTGGGGCTCTCCAGAGTGCCTGGGACCCTGGGCAGGAGGGCTATGGCCCTCCAGGGGCGAGCTGGGACCCTGAGCAGGGGGGCTGGGGCCCTGTGGGAGGCGGTGCACTCTGTGGGGGCCAGGGGACCCACACCTCCTGAGCAGCTCCCCCACACCCACAGTCCCCCCAGCAATCACCCCACACCTACCCACAGACCAACCCACATCCCTCCACACACACCAGCCCGCCTTCCCCATACCCCTTCCCACCTCTTTTCTGAAAACACCATATCCCCCCATCACACACCCATCATGTGCAAAGAAAAACAAAAGTACACAGCAACACATACAGGTATTTAGAATTTATTTTATCATGATGATAGAGATACTGGTAGGCTTCCACATTGCTTTACCACTGTAAATATACCAATAAAAAGCATTGCCCAACTGAGTGATCTTTTGTGTTAATTTTGGAAAAACATGGATTTTGGGATATTTTAAAAAATGGATTTGGGATGCTTCTGCAGCAGTCCAGCTGGCACAAGGGGTGGTATCCCCAGATACCAGGTGGCTGGGCCCCAGAAGCTCCAGAGAGCGAGTAGCCCTGAGCTGCTTGCCAGGGCAGGTTTTTGTACTGCTGGGGCCAGGACAGGGAAGCTGTTTATACTGCTGGAGACAGCACAGGTGCTGGCCCCAGGCTGTAGCTGCACCTGTCTGCAGATCTGGGAGGAGCCAGGCAGGGTTATTTTGCCCCAAGTGGCACAATTTGCTCCACAACAAAGTGCATGTCCGAGCACGTGCTGAGGCAAAAAGCCCCAGCTCAAATTTGCACTGCTTCTGTTTGAGCTGCTGCAAGTGCATGTGCTTGCTTGTGTGGACGCGCCTTGTGAGGGAAAAATCATAGGTTTGGGATGAAGTTCAAAGAGAAAAGTTCATGCAGTACTAGCATTCTCCAGGGATTGGGATTGGTACATTTTTAAGAAATCCTATAATAGGGAAGGACCTAAAGTGCATCTAAGAAAAATGACCTAAGAGCTCTATTGATTGTCCCTAAATAATGCTGAATTACAGAAATGGAAGTTTATCTCATCCAGATAAATGACTGCACCATTGCAATGAACAAAATAACAGCTCTTGAAAGAACACAGCATTACCTAGCATGCAGGTTCAAAAGTTTGAAACAATCAGGAAAAGGAGAGGAGACATCAACCATTAGACTGAATTTAAAATAAAGTGATTTTTAAAACATTGTACCTCCTTTATGGTTTGCCTGCCTCTGATTTAAAGAAAATAGCCCTTTGCTACCTGAGTGTGTGAGTTCAGGCACTGCCCTCATTGTATTAAGCTTTGGCTTCCACCTCTGGGGTCACACTCTAACCTATTCTCCTCCCCCAGATGAGTTCCATGCAAGATGGACAGGGAATAGATAGCTGCTTTTGATATGCTTATCCATGGTTTTACTGTTCACCCTGCTTGGCCCAGATAGCTTTTCCCAATTCTGTACATTCACCAGCAATGCAAAGGAGGGAACTGCTTCTGATAAAAGCAGCCAGACTGGGAACAACACCTTCTGGTGGCAGATAGGGAAGTAAATCAGTAACAGCAGAAAAACAAGAACTGCATTTTTTTCAGCAGAAATCCTGAGCAGAGATAATTTCTCATTAGATTACAACCAGCATTTTAACATACCACAAGATTATAAGGTTCACAATATACTTTCAAGAAACCACCACCCAGAGAATATCATTTAGTTCCAATAATAATACAGCTTCCAGTCATGGGGTCTCCTTGGTGATACATACCTAACCAAACTCAAAACTTAGCAGAATGAGACATTGATAAATATGCACAAATTCCTTACGACAACTCCACAGTATGAAATACATCATAATGCCCTGCATCAGTGCTTTATACTATGTCAATATTAGTAAGACATTTAGTCTCATTTACCTATAAAATTACAAATAAAGAGTTAAAAGAGATAGAAGGAGCAGAAGTTTGTTTGTTATTAAAAATTGACTGTCAGAGTGAAAATAAAATCTGAGGTAGGAATAGGGTTCTTTTGTTACTCACTTTCCATGTCTTTGGCACTGACTTTGGCTTAGGTGATTGAGAAACTGTATCAGTTGACTTCTTAATTAAACAGATAGTTTCAGTCTGTTTTCAAGACACATCTTTTTAGCCTTATTAGCATTTAATGCCTTTGTAGTGCTGGCTATGGAAATAGAGGGTACTGTTGGGGCCAGTCCTTGTTATATTGTCCAGAGCTATCAAGCTATTATTCTTTGCTTTGTAAACACAAGTCAAAAAGGATTAGTGTTACTTTCCAGATATCACATTGGCATTTCAATTAACTGACATGAGCCTTGGTAGGGTTGATATTAACATATTTTGCCTTTATCTTGCAGAATACTCTTTTCATTCTATCTCAAGTTCTTTGTTGCTTCCTGTAATTTATTACCAACATGTCTGTGGTTCCTAATAAAACTTCATTTTGCAATTAGGATATTCAGATAAATCTGTGTTGACTACTAATAAGGTCCTTCAATATGATTTTTACCATGTTGCCTCTGCCTTTCCCCAAAGGAAATGCTGGTGCTTAATGTTACAAACCAAGAATTTACTTCTGGGGTTTAAAATAACCAACTTAGTGCATGGTTTATTATTCTGTTAGAGCTCTGAAAAAAATGAGGAGGAAACTGAACTCTTAATTAAATAGTAAGTTTAGAAGGACTCCGCTTATCTTGAAAAATAATTTAGTTGTATGGAATTTTACCTCAGATCCTTGTATTCCTCAGTGAGAGTTTTCCACTGAATATCCTATAGGAAAAGCAAATCTGTGCACAGGCATCAGAACATGACTATTCAAATGTATTTTCATGCTGAAAAAACACAGAGTTTGTTCCATCGATGGCTAAAGAAAGATAGGTTCGATGATTGCATCTGTGGCAGATCTGGACACCCTTTTCAATTAAAATTCAGTACTTTTTCCTGCCATGGCAGGGGGTCGGACTTGATGATCTGCTCAGGTCCCTTCCGACCCTACAAACTGTGAAAATAATACCTATACAAGGGCCTCTCTCTTCAGTAGTAAAAATGGCAAAAACTGTCATATAGAAATAGCTACCACATTGGATTTAGTAGCGTAATTAGTTTTGTGAAGTATTTCAAGCTGAAATGTGGTAAAGAATTATGTACTATTTCTTTGATTAAAAGCTCTGCCAAAATTATAATACTCAAAAACCTGCAAAACCACCATTTTATTTTCACTAAAAAATAGTTCCAGCTTAGAAAAGGACTAAGAAGTCTATACATTTACTTGGCCTTCAGGCTGACGTTGAAGTACAGTGATCCAGATTTGAATCTAAAGTCTAAATAAAGATATAATAGCAGAAGAATTAAATGGGCTGCATTGGACTGCCTAGAGTACAATTTTCTTCTTTTCTTTTCCTTTTTTAAATTCAACACCTGGTCCTGACTGGAGCTACAGATACTTCTTTTTCTTCAGACTTAGAAACACTTCTTATGTTATTTTCAAAACACAAATGCCAGTTACAGTGAGGACAAAAAAAAAAGGAAGGAAAAATACTGCTTCCAAAGAACAGCTCTAAATTACTAATTTAAAAAATCCATAATATACAGCAGAATATTGAACATGCTCCCATACGATGATTAGTGGTGCCTCATTTCATCCAGTCAGGTTCAAAAACACTAGTCATTTTTTATGTCTATCAGAGACTTCACTTTCCTTTCTCTTCCCAACATCTAAGGTATGTACATGCAGAGATTCCAGTTGTGGCCCCCTAGAAATGACTGCATAGAGAAATGCTGTCTGGTAGTTCCTTTTGAGTGTGTATAGTTAGCCTGATAGTCCAACTTGAGTGCTGCAAGATCCTTTTAAGCGTGCTGCATGCTGTCACTCAGTATTAGCAACGTTGGGTACACAGACACCTACACATGACTCACAAGAGAAACCCAGAGATTTCAAATAGGAATTCATAGTATCAGAAATATTCTGTTGTGTTTTTTCTGAGTTCTTTGCACCAGAATTGCAGACTATTATTTTTTCATAGTAAAAAAAAAAAAAGAGAACCCAAAGAGCTGGCATTTTCCAAGGAGTGCTTTGAGTCTAAAAAGGTTGAGAACCACTCTTATAACATCTGTAGCCCAAACCTATCATCTTCTTGCCTGAAAAATCTTTGTAGATCAGTTGGAAAGAAGCAAGTGTCAGAAATATGCAACCCCAAACTGCTACCATTCCAAGAGTAGTCAGGAAAGAGCTCTAGGTCTCCCAATTAATCTCAGCAAGCTTTTCCCAACGTAAGAAGTGTCCTTCTCCCCAACCTCCATGCCTCCCAAAGGTTAAGAGTGATGGTGCATTGGTACTGGGAATAGGAGCCATTCGTCCCTTGGTTATAAGGGAAAAAATGCTCTGGGTAGCTTTGGAAATTCTCTAAAATTATTCAGTCCATTTTACATAAGATGAGCTTCCACGGTTGTATGCATGGCTCAGCGAGCTAAGGACACATTCTGCTGAATTAAGCCATTAAATACCAAAATGTGTGTGTGTGAAAACTGGGGAATTCTGAAAGCCGGATGAGGAGGAGATAATTCACACGATGCTTGGTTATTCTCTGTTGAAAGAAACAGAATATAGCAGGGCAGTTTATCTTTTGCCAGATTTCTTTAGCCAGTGAATTTGTATTATAGTAATGGGATCTTTTTTAATTTACATGCTAAGTAGACTTTACCTTCTGAATTACAGATGTGACTTGAACTGCAACTGTTTTCTATGATTTTTAAGATTGTATGAGACTGCAATTTCATTTTTTCAATTTGCTACATTTCAGTATATATACAAAAATTGGCACTTTCAAAGGTTGCTTGTTTGTTTACAGAGGAAACACCAAATTCATCATCTCTTCTTTTTCCTTGTGGAGCTCTCAAAAGAGAAGTACTTCCAACAGTGCTCAAGGAAAAAGGTTGGTATTTCCTTAGATGTTTATTTTGATTAATTGATTTATTATTATGAGTAACATTGTCCCCTGCACGCCTCACAACGATAGCAAAAGATTAAAAATGTTCTTATTATCAAGAGGAGGCTGCCATCCATTGTTCAGCTCTTGCTGCCACTGCAACACTGTTCTTGTTGCTGCTGGGTGGCAGAAGGGACAAGACTGCTTGCAAGGTTCCCAGAAACAGCAAGGTCTGACTTGAGGGGAGGAGTCCCTAACCCTGTTATTGCCTGGCAGTAATGGGAATGGGGCAATCTGCAAGTCTCCCTGACGGCTCACTGCTTTGGGGGTGGGGGGGCACTCTACTATTCAGAGCACTATGGATAGTAGAGGATCTAAGAGCTGGCTATATGTTAAATGTGTCCCCAGCATGACAAAGTTTGCTGTCAAAAACAGCAGTTTCATCATGGATCCACCATTTTTGTGGTGGATCAGCCATTTTGATGTTAGGACAACTTCCTTTAAGGTATGGCTTATTTATAATATGTCACCGGAAACTTGCATATATCCTGTGACAAATGTAATATCAACCAGGGGCAAGGGCAGTTGCAGTAATTAACTGATATATGTAATATGCTTTGAGATCCTCAGGTTATGAATGCATAGCCATATAAAAGCTTTAAAATTATATTCTGTAGCTGTAGAAATGCCTAGGAAGCTATTAAAAATATTTCTGTCTTAGCCATTGAAGTGATGCATTTAAATGTAGTCAGAATTATAGAAGTGCTTTATTGGAATAACAACAGCATTAAATCCTGTTAACTAGTAGGCACATGTTCTTTTTTTCTCAATTCCAGGTATTTTACTGGAAAGCCTTACTATTTATCAGACTGCTCAACATCCCAATCTCCAAGAATCCTTGAAGAATTATTTCTCACAACAGGTAGCACACATTCAAGAATACTACTATAAAGGGATGGTTTTCTGAAGCTTATGTAAAACCTGTTAAAATGCTACAAGATGTCATTGTAGGGTATAGAAACAAAGGCTATAAACAAGCTTCCTATATTCTCTTCATAATGGATACTAAGGTAATGCTTGGCTAATGTTGTAGTCATTTGGACATTGTGAATGAGGCCTTAAAATTGGAGATAGTTTCCCCTAAAACTTTAACACAATAGCACATAGGCATAAAAGCAGTGAGTTAGAGAAAGTCCTAAAATATCCAAGTCTCTATTTGGGGGAAGAAGGGGAAGGCCCTTTCAGATTTTCATCCAGTTTTCAAGCTATATTTTATACAAGAATTACTGGGAGTGGGGGGAAATTATTTATATAAATAATTACCTATTCCACTTGTTCTTTTTGAATTGCTTGACAAAGCTCTGAAAAAAATCATGTTAGATTCCATCACGAGAGCCTCAATTACTGTGGGGTGCTATTGATTCACTTACTAATAATCATACACACAGGATCTCTTGTCATTTTCAGTGTCATTGAACCTGTTGGCCACAACTATCTCAATCTGCATCCAGCACTAATTATCTGCTGTCCATGGTTGCTGAGCAGTGTTCCCTCTCTCATTATTTCATTTGAGAATGCATTACTGATTCTCTTCTAGTATTACAATTCTGGATGATATGCTGCCCTCTAAAGGATCACTAGGTGTGTCTGTTAGAATTGTTACAAAAAGTGCTTTTTACCGTCTGCTAAACATCATTAGGCTGAGATCAGTGCCTAACAAAGTAGATTTGGAGCTACTGATAAAAGCTTTTGTTTGGTCAAGATTAGATTATTGAATGTTTTGTTTGTGGGAGCCTGGTGTTACAGCTAGGTTTCAGTTTATTCAAAAAAATAGCCTTGCCTCCAGACACCTGCCTGTCTGAACATCTTGCTCCGCTTTTAAAGGCGTCATATTGACTTACTGTTAAATTACATATTGATTTCAAAGTTCTTTTACTCATGCAAAGTCCTGAATGGCTTCACCTGCCCAGCCTAACTGATATACTGTGCTACACTTATGCTCCCAGACAAATAATACAATTATTATAAGTATATTATTTGGTTGGCACTAGCATAGACTTGAGTCAATAGCAAGAAGGACATTTTCTAAAGAGTTCCTTCCTTTGTGCTTTAGAGAGGTTCTTTCTTGTAATTCCAGGCAAAACTAACAAGATACGCTTGCTTTCTACTTTTAGCCATTCTTAAATAATAGTTTTGTTAAACATACAGTTCCCTGACATTTGATATTGAAAGGCTAGAGATAAATATAAAGAAGTAATGTTGAACACTGTTTGAAAGCCAGAAATACTGAGCTGAACCAGCATTCCAGTCTCCATGACCAAAATCTAGCTTCTAAATGGTACATTTTAAAACAAAAATAGATGCCTTCCATTGAGTTTGAGCACAGCCTTGCACCAAACTGATTGCTCTGTAGATTTAGTCTTCAGAAGCAGCCTTCTCCAAGCCTGCCAGTCCTGAAAAAAATGTATGCAGTACAGCTGACTTCATGCCTTCCTCAATCTAAGGAAACTTGCTAATATTTCCTCCTCGTTAAAAAATGCTGCTGCATAATGGGGTTGTCATTCAGAGCTTTATCAGGTAATATTCTGGGGGTAAAAGCCTTTGCATTGTGTCTGCTCAGCTGTAGAACTCAAGACTTGGTATTCATTTCTCCTATTCTAAACTACTTTGCTATAGCAGCTGCATAAGCAGGGAGAATTTAGGGTGAGCAACAAGGATGTACAGGATGGGAAGCAGAGGGCCTATGTCCAGAGCTGGTGGAGTTTTGAGAACCATCAGGGAATCACTTGCATGACCTTGGAGAATGAATGGCAAAAATCACACTTGAATTTCAGGTAGTTCCACATGGGGACAGCCTTGCCAAACTCTGCACCCATTGTACTGCTGCCAGCTTTTCACAGTAAATCATTTTGGCTGGCTAAATTCAGCTCTTCTTAGCTGCCAGCACTGCATCTCCACATAGAGACTGCTGAATGGATTTATATGAAACTGTGTTCTGATATGCTGCTCAAGTCAACAGAAATCTGTTCCAACACGCTATTCCTTTTATACAGGGTATGCCAGCAAGCATTGCATTCTTCAGCCCATCTGGTGTCAAATTTTGTCTTCAGCATATTCAGAAGTTTTCTGGCAATTTTGCTGATCAAATTAAGGTAAAGTCCCCAAACAACTATAAACACACTGGTGTTTACTAACGTGGAAGCAGGGGGTTGAAGGGAGGGCTGAGTTGCATTTCTTACATCCACTTAGTTACAAGGAGACTTGGAACAAGTCACTGGGCTCTCTGTCTGTTCTGAAGGATAACAATTCCTGGCCACTGCGAATTTTTCTAATTTTCAGTCAAAACAATGCTGCTGCAAAGATGAATTGTTTTTTTTTTAATTTAATACTTTAGATTCTCACTGCTAGTTACAATTAGCTGTATATCTCATTTTTCCTTAAATCTGCAGTTAAAATAAGGTTATTTAAAAGCAAACCAGCAGCAAGGTGTTCATCAATAGGTTTTTAAATTTAGACCCTTTTCTGTTTGAAAATTCCATCTAACTGCAGAACTTTAAAACAATCCTTCAGAAGAAAATCCTATCATCAGATTCCTTCCAGGCATTTAAGAACATTCTTGCAACTTAACAGTGATGTGCAGTGTAATACGTATGGTATTTATGGAAGGTTGATACTTTTAGAAGACACTGGCTATAGCTTGTTATCCTTTTCCACTGATGATCGCTGTTCAGAATGGGACTGTGGGGGAAGAGTTGAATAGATGATGTTCAAGCCACCACAAAAATACATCATTTGTTTGCAGCTCAGAAATACTGAATGTGAATTACAGGGGCCCCTTACTGGCCATCCATGTCCTAATTGAAAAGTGGAGACCCATCCTTTTCTAGTTTTAATCCTACTCTCTGGCCTAAAGTAGAAGAGGCACTCGAGCTGAGGGGATTCCTTCTTTCTCCTCTGTATTTTCAATTAGTTTTAACTCGTATGGCAAAAAGCTGGTCCTACATTCACACTAGAGATGGTTCTGTGTTGTACATAGTTCTGAGCTCCTGCACAGTTCTCTCTGCAGGAGCTGCAGAGGCTGGAGTTGGATCAATAGGGGCCAGCTGTAGAGTTTAGCATTAGCATCAGTTTCTCAAAAGTGGAAGCTATGTGGGGTAGAAGTGTGGCTTTGAATAGCCCTTTATTTCATACTTTCTGTACCTGAAGAAATAAATCTGCTTGGCCCCATTGAAGATCATTATCTTTTATACATGTACCTAAGTTCTGGCTCAGTGTACCACCATCATTCTTTATGGTCCAAGACAAGATAAACTGCTGATTTAGAAGCCTGGAAATTCCTGGGCAAAGACTGTGTTTGACAGCTCTGCCTCACACATGCACTATGAGACTATCATCTGTACAGGTAAAAGCTTATGTATGCAAGAAACTAAGCTTTCCAAAGCCTCAAAGAATTCTCTCACTGTCTGTTTCAAGTGCAGGGCACCTGTCTTCGGTGTTGCCTGCTATAACAATCCTGCCCAGCACAGCTGCTGTTAAGCAAATACAATTAGAAAGGTAGATTTTATTTTTTTTTAAACAGGAGAGAGGGAGGAAAAAGCCTATTATAAATGCTACTCACATTACTCAGTGCACTATTAGAGAGAGCTCACATGCAAGCAAGGAGGTAAAATAAGAACCTGAATAGAATAAATCAGCAACAGTGCCTGTAACTAAACTGTCACAACAGGGCCTCACCAGGTCATTTCTGTACAGTGTTTGCAAAGCAGACTAACAAAATACCATATGAAACCATGCTGTAAAAAGAGTTCATTTTATTATTCTACATCTTCAGGGAGCTGAACCTCTTTGAACCTTTTTTTTTGGGTGCCACATGATATTTGCATACAGCAGTGAGAGTAAGAGGAACAGGAATCCATGAAATTTGTGTTGGTTCAAGCTATCAGTAGCCTTTATCCTGGAGTCAGAATCAGCTTATGCATTGAGTTCAAAGCAGGGACGTTTGCATTTGATCATCATCATTAATCATCACAGCAATTGCTAGGAATAGCTACAGAGGTTTTCTAATGAATATAGAAATCATTCACTAATAAAATGGCAAAAATATTTGAAAACAGCAACTGAAGAGGAAGCCAGGGTGAAGCAAATCATTCTTTCAATATCTAATATTCCTTTTAGTTGTGAATATTTTTCTGTTTTTCTTATTGCAACAAAAACCTTGATTTGGAGTTTCTGGCTGCTATTATTTCAGCAAGATTTCCGAACGTTAAAATTTTAGATAAAATACAAATTCTGATGAGGCACATTAGATTCAGTGGTAACTGACTTGATTCCCATGCATGAAGAACTTGTTCAAAAGGGCTAGTCACTCTCTCAAGTGAAGAACAATCTTGTCACAGATTCAGCATGTAAATAGGATTCTTCTGGTGTATGTGCATGTAGGACAAACACGGAAGTTCCAAATATGCAGATTATGTCTCTCCAACTGCCTGGCTGTCATACTGTTAGCCCCATCCTCCTGTCTTGACTGGTGCCTACATTCCTTTCCTTTGGCTGAGACTATAGCATGGGGCCAGGTAATTATTTCAGCTGGAGAGTCGCTTACAAGAGTTTTGGCAAGCTGTTGAGTGCTGCAAGGGTAGCCCTGCTCCTTGACAGGTGCCCCACCCCCTAGGCACCATCTTGGGACCATCAGTCTCGTCCTCTAACCCCTGACCTTTTCCACCAGAAGTCCCTCCCTTCCCGGCTGCAGTGCTGGGACTGCAGGACCCAGCCCAGCCCTGAGGACTATGGCAATTGCCTGCAGTTTTCCCCTACCTCCCCCTTCCCCTCCCCCCATCTGAATTTCCCTCTCTGGCAGAGGAAAGCAGGGAACAGCCCCAGGGTCCCAGGCCAGAAGCTTCTGCTAG